GAATTAGTTAAGAAGTTGCGTTGGCCATTCATCCCCCACTTATGGAAGTGGGAGTCTTCTGGCTGTTTAGGATAAATCACTGGTAGAGGAAAATAAGAAACTAACCGAACAATTAGGCCAAGAAAAAAAGCAAAAAGAGCAACTTTCAGACCAATTAAAAAGTGTGGAAACAGACTTACAAATAGAAAGAAATGCTAAAAATTTTATTCAGCAAAATCTCGACCAAGAAAAATTTGCTGCTGCTAGTTTCCAAGACCAACTCGAGCAGTTGACCCAAGATAGAAATAATTTTCAAAATCAATTAGCAGAAGCCAACAAGGCAGGCTGGAAAGAAATTTGATTAGTAATTTCTGGGGTTATAATAGGTTTCTTAATTTGGTGAATTATTGGAAAAAGCATGCAAGAAGGGAAAAATTTAAGAAGTTTAAATAAAGAAGCATTAAAACAATGCTAATTTTATGCTAAATACTAAAAACTGTACTCTTTTCTGTTTAACTATCCTGGCTACGAGATTGGAAGTTGAGATATTTTTTAAGAGCATAAGGAATAATCAAGCAGTCTGCTTTCTTATCATAATAATATTCGCAAAGAGCAAGAATTAAGCGGTCGATAGCCAAAGCCGAACCATTAAGAGTGTGAGGATAGTATTTTTGATTTTCTTTTCTAACCCGAATTTGGGACCGACGACTTTGAAAGTCTTCACAATTACTACATGAGGAGATTTCTAACCATTTTTGGCTAGTTGGCAACCAGACTTCAATGTCATAAGTTTTGGCTGCTGTAAAACCTAATTCGGAGCAGCAAAGTTCAATTACGCGGTGGGGAATTTTTAGTAAATGGAGAATATTGCGAGCGTCAGTTAACAATTTTTCCAATTCGGCATAGGAATGCTCAGGCTTAACTATTTTCACTAATTCAACTTTATGAAATTGGTGGAGCCGAATTAAACCTTTATTCTCCTGACCGGCTGCCATTCTTTCAGCCCGAAAACAGGGACTATAGGCACACAAATTCAAAGGTAATTCTTCTTCGGTTAATATTTGACTCTGGTAAAGATTAACTAAACTAACTTCGGCCGTGGGTAGGAGATAAAACTCACTCTCCTCCAATTTATAAAGATTATCTTGGAACTTGTGAAATTGCCCGGTATTATAAAGATTATGGGCCTTGACTAAATAAGGGGTGTCAAACAAACGATAGCCCCGCTTACTATTTTCGGCTCTCATAAAATTAATAAGAGCATGTAATAATTGACTGCCGAAATCTTGGTAAACTGCGAACTTGCTACCAGAGAGGAGAATACTTTTTTCCTCGTCAATTAATTTTAATTTTTTTAATATTGTTTCGTGGGTTAAATTGTGCTGAATGGTGTGTTGATATTCAGTACTGTCAATTACTTGGTTGCCTTCCTCATTAGTAGGAGTATCCAGAGCCGGCAAATTAGGAAGTTGGTTGGTTAACTTTTTTAATTCGAATTCTAGTTCACTTA